CCTGAGTTTACAGACTTTGGTATAAGACCCAGTTGTCAGGGACAGTGACTTCTAGGAGGGATCCTGCGGCATAGGATGACATTCTGGTTTTATTTGGGGTACAGGAGCTGTGACAGAGTTTGAAGGCGGGCGCCCTATGAATGTGAATAAGAATCCCACCTGCGAGAACATCACTGTGGCCTGAACCCTCTCAGGACTGCGTCAGAGCAAAGGAGTCCCAGAAAGGGGCAGCTTTCACAGCCCACGCAGTTATTCAGTCCAGTGCGTACAGTGCACAAGATTTAGCAGTAATACCGCATTCAGGAGCTACCTGAGACTGGGTGATATTGGAAGGTTTATGCCAACTTTCAAAAGGGAGAGTGAGTTTGAGAAGAATAGACAAAGACCTAGGAAAGGTTACTCACTGAAGGGGTTTGAAGGTGTTCCGTGGGGTGCAGGAATAACCTGTCACAGCTGAGAGCATCTGTCTGCAGTGCTCTCTGAATGCACTCCCGTTCCTTCAATCTTCCCTCATTGTTCCTAGTGTCTGAGCTCTCTCAAACCCAGCCTATCACCAATTTTGGCATCTAGAGATATGCTGATGGTGTTATATCTTCACAGTTTCTTTCTGGTAGTTCAGGGATATTTTGCCAGTTATTTCTATCTTGGAAGAAAACTGAAAATAATTGGATATGAGGAAAATGTGAGTTGCCGAGGGGCACATGATTTGTTGATGTTAGACATCCTGACTTTTTGCCTANTAAATAACATAAGTACTTCCCTTAATGTCAGTATTCTGTTCTTGAAAATCACAAATTTTGCTGATGTATATAGGAGCCAATTTTACATTACTTAAATGGGAAACTTAGAATACTAGTGTTCTTCAAACACTTCATGGAGAGATCCATGTTTTCTTTTCATTATATTTTTCCATGAACTTCTGAAGTACCCTGATACAGTTCACTAGTAACTTATAAGAAACAGACACTGTTTTGTTTTTAAAGTAAACAATTTGTACATGACATTAAAAAAAATCAAAAAATCTTACACTATAGTTTACTATAGTGTGCAAACAATTGCTTTTTATGGTTCACATGACCTGCATTAGTGCCAGGAACCTCAGTGAAGTCCTCTTAGTTGACATTCATTGTAATTTCCAAAACTTCTCCCTGTGGTTGTGAAGGTATATTGATTGTATTTGACATGTAATTTAAGGTTTTCTTCCCCACATAATCTTGTTGAAAACATATTGAGTTCTGGGAGCTTAGGTGTATCACTTAGTATTTGCCATGTAAGGAACAAATCAAAACCCAAATGGCTTTAAAAACCCAGCCGTTTTATTTTCTTGAAGTTCTAGGAATTCACATTTTGGGTGTGTTTAGCTGGGTTGTTCAGCTTTAGTCACCTGGTGCCTTGACTGAGGCTGGTTGGTTCAAGATGGCTTCATTCATATATCCAGTGGTTTGTGCTGACTCTTGGCTGGGGCCTCTGTCTCCAAAAGTTTAGCCCCAGGCTTCTTCACACTGTGATTATGTTTAAGAAGGCAAGCACCAGTGGCCAGTATTTGTCAAACTTATGTTTGCATGACATTTGCTAATGCACTTTTGGCCCAAGCAAGTCACATAGCAAAGCTCAGTTTGTTGTCAGAGCATAATACATGAGGGTTTTGGTGTAGGGAGATCCATCACTGGGTAAC